TTCTGAGGAGCTCTCCGCAGTTGATCTCTTGGCCCACCGAAGGCGCAGCAATGCTCAAGCGTGTCACGCCAGATAAAGGTAGAATCTACTGGGCTGCTCCATTTGTATGCTGCAAGTGAAGACGAGCCTCACAGGCAAAAAGAGGTAGCAGCGCTGTTAATGGGAAAGCCTGGGGGTAGGGATTCCTGAAGGCTCATGTAAGGAACGAACTTACGTGATCGACACAAGGAGCCTAGACGCCTAGGGCCAGTGATGAAGAGCAGAAGGCTCAACGCCGCGAGAACAGAATGCCACCCTTCGAGCGTGCCTGTGAAAGTGACTTTTCTCGCCTCCCAGGCCGCTGCAGCCGCTCAAGCAGGATTCACCCGGCAAGTGCTAGCTTTTACGCTGAAAGATCGGGCCGCCGGATTGGTTGGTGGACTGCAAGCAAGAGAGTGTGCACTCGTAACTGGCCATCATAGAAGAGTTATGGCAGCTGGCATAGATTTTTCAAGGTGACGCCAGATCGATCTGATATCTCTGCACATAAGAGTGCGATTGAGAAGGACGAAAACAAGGAATGCTCCTCTGGTGCAAAGCCTGCGTTGTAACAAAGAGATACAGCTCAGTTGAGTGGTCTACAGCCCTCACGGGCTCGTCCGAGTCTACTTACCGAGTTGAGCTCTAAGTTTTCGGATGCCGCTTCTCAAGAGCACTTCTACGCGTCAGACGGGTCTTTCCAGTCGGTGGCTGCCAGAGATGGGGCACGCAAAGAAGCTCAGGCTGAAGAACCGACTTTACAGAACGATTCGCGAGCAGGTGATGTCTATAAGTCTGAGACGACGAGGTGATCTTCACGCCTTCGTGAGTCTGGCAGTTCCAAGCCACTGCGACTAGCCAAGAGAGCATGGGGAGTACCTTGTCCAGCCGGACGAGGCTATGCAGTCACTTCCCATGCTGTCCGTCCGATGGCTGCTGATCAAACGGCTCGGCGTTGCGCTGCATACATCTAGATGGAAAGCTGAATTGAGGTTGCGCTAGCTCGCGCTGACCGGCGACCGCAAGAGGAACTCTCTGGTGCGGCGCTCGCCATTTTTATATTGCGCCCAACCCCTTAGTTGAGCACCGCCACGCTCTTCAGACTACCGGCACGCGGGGCCAGACGCTGAGGAAGCGTGAGAATCTATTTCGTGAGTGGGTGATTGGCGTCTTAATTGATGTAAGCCTGAGGTGAGATCGATGAGCTGGGTGAGTGAGGAGGGCACGAAGAGAAAAGTCGTGGCATGTTACAGCTGCTAGCGCGCAAGAGTGTTGCTATCGCAGCTTTCGAATAGCTACATCTTGATGACCACCTCGCCCCTCTTTCCACGTGCCTCTTCTGAGCATCATCATTTTCCAATCGATCGCTACTCACAACTCAAGTCTACGACTACTGATCATCTTGGATGTCGTGCTTGCATGGCACTCTCCTCTCGGCGTGTCATGTGAGAACTCGCTGTTGACAGGAAACCCGACGCACTCGACTCGGCGAGGCTCAGCCGCTCCGTCTTCTGTCATGGTCCATCCACCATTCAGTTCTTGATTATCGTAGCTGATGCTTGTCTCCAAAAGCCACGTGCTAGCAACACAATACATGGCAAGTGCCAGCCCGGTCTATTGCGATCAACTCAACGTTCACCCTGCCAGCACCCAATCTTCGGGCAGCGGACGACTCGAGTCTGGTGCACAGAAGCAGCAAAGAGCTTGCCTACCTACGCGTGATGCTGCTATGCCCCCTGGCACGCGTGCGGCTTTGCGAGCATCGCGCCTGGCTCGGGCGTGAGCGCTCAGTCGGAATGATTGTGCATCTCTCTGTCCTGGTGCAGTCACTCAAGGAAGCAGCGCTTAGCTTCATCGTGCTCACTGCTATTGTGCCGGGTTCGCGCACGTCGACGCGCTGGACTGGGACGGCGCTTCGCACACCTCGGGGTCTCTGCAAGAGCCTGACACATGTTCAGCCTCTCCATCAATCCACCCACCATCGCGATTCAAGACGAAGTTGACGCTCAGCCTTTTCATCAAAGTTCACCATCGCGATTCAAGACGAAGCTCACGTCGCACTTTACACTCTCACCTATCACCGATCTCAATATGCCGTTGACACGTGCGGCTACTGCTGCTGCTGAAAGAAGAATGACCCCTGCAGCCGTTTCCTTCGAGGACTGGGTAAACAAGAGACAGAGGGAAGGTCTCTCACAAATCGAC